ATGTGCTCCTTCTTACCATTCTGAGTAATAGTACTAGCATCATTCCCCCTCACCCTCCTCCTCCTGGTTCTCCTCATCCTCCTCCACCTCCTCACCACCATCATCATCATCATCATCATCATCATCATCATCATCATCATCATCATCATCATGATCATCATCATCATCATCATCATCATCATCATCATCAGCATCATCATCAGCATCATCAACAACAACATCATCAGCATCACCATCATCATCATCATCATCACCACCACCATCATCATCATCATCATCATCATCATCACCACCACCACCACAACCACCACCACCACCACCACCACCACCATCATCATCATCATCATCATCATCATCATCATCATCATCATCATCATCATCATCATCATCCTCGTTACCTTCTAATTCCTCCTCCTCCTCCTCCTCCTCCTCCTCCTCCTCCTCCTCCTGCTCCTCCTCGTCCTCCTCCTCCGCCTCCTCCTCCTCCTCCTCCGCCGCCGCCGCAGCCTCATCCTCCGCCGCCGCCGCAGCCTCCGCCTCCGCATCCGCCTCCGCCTCCGCCTCCGCCTCCGCCTCCTCCTGCTCCTCCGCCTCCGCCCCCGCCTCCGCCTCCGCCTCCGCCTCCGCCTCCGCCTCCACCTCCGCCTCCTCCTCCGCCGCCGCCTCCGCCTCCTCCGCCTCCGCCTCCTCCACCACCTCCTCCTAATCCTCCTGCCCTCATTCCCTCCTCCTCATCCTCCTCCACCTCCTCCTACCTCCTCCTGCTCCTCAGCTCCTCCTCCGCCCCGCCCCTCTCCTCTCCGCTCCTCCTCCTCCTCCTCATACCTTCTTCTCCTCCTCCTCCTCCTCCTCCTCCTCTCCTCCTCCTCATCATCATAGCATCATCAACATCATCATCACACACCATCACCATCACCATCACCATCACCAGCATCATCATCATCATCAGCATCATCATCATCATCATCATCATCATCAACTATCATCATCACACATCATCATCATCATCATCATCATCATCATCATCATCACCTCCTCACCTCATCCTCCTCCTCCACCTCTCATCATCAGCATCATCCTCATCCCCTCATCCTCCTCCTCCGCACTCCTCCTCCTCCGCCTCCTCCTCCGCCTCCACCTCCTCTCCTCATTCCTCATTCCTCATTCGTCCCTCCATTCACCTCCTCCCATCCTGCCCTCCTCATCCCTCCGCCTCCTCCTCCTCCTCCTCCTCCCCTCCTCCCCTCCTCCTCTCCTGCCTCCTCCTCCTCCTTCACCCCACCCCCCCTCCCCTCCCCCTTTCCCTTCCGCTGCCTCCTCCTCCTCCTCCTCCTCCGCCTTCCTCCTCCTCCTACTACTACTAACACTAACTTCTCCTCCTCCTCCTCCTCCTCCTCCTCCTCCTCCTCCTCCTCCTCCTCCTCCCCTCCTCCCTCCTCCGCCTCCTCCTCCTCCTCCTCCTCCTCATCCTCCTCCTCCTCCCCTCCTCCTCTCCACCTCCTCCTCCTCCTCCTCGTCTTCCTCCTCCTCCTCCTCCTCCTCCTCGTCTTCCTCCTCCTCCGGGAGGAAGAAGAAGCCGGGTCGCGGCCGAGGCGCGCGGAGCGCGAGTGTCTGCACTCGTCCCGCGGGCGACCTGATTAGCGGGTGGTCTGTTCCACGAAGAGAAGCGGTCGGAGCAGATGGGGTCGGAGGATCGCGCCGCGTCGCCGATGCATCGCCGATGCATCGGCGACGTCGACGTGAAGCAAATCGGGCTCCACATCGACCCGCATCAGCGATGCATCGGCGATGCGGTGCGATCCTCCGAACCCGTCTACTCGGACCCCGTCTGGGAGGCCTAGAACTACGGCGTTGGTCTCTAACACCGCGGGGATCGTTGAACCTTGAACGATCGGCCGTTGTAAAAAGGTCAGATCCTTCGACATTGAACGATTCTGGGTCGCCAGCGGCGTTCAACGTTGAACGCTGGCGGCAGGGTCGCCGCTGGTCGACACGACGCGAACCTACCATAATCAGCTGTTCCAAGGAGTGCGCCGCCATCACGCAACGGACTGCGCAGCCAGGACTGCGCATCGGGAGCTTCAGACTCTTCCAGGGCGGGCCGCCCTGACCTGGAGGGTCGGCGGCGAGCCCGGGGGGGAGTCGGCGGCGAGCCCGGGGAGGGCGGAGAGAGTCGGCGGCGAGCCGGGGGGGGGGGGGGGAAAGAGTCGGAGGGGGCGAAGGCTCGGGGGGCCTCCAGCCTTCCGAGAAGGTGTCCAGGCTCTAGGCCTCCTCCGCAGGCGGAGACTGCCTCTCGGGAGGCCGGAGGGCCTCCTGAGAAGCCCCGCCGCCTTCCGAGAAGGCCCGCCCCCTCCCGCTTCCCCCCCAGGGCTCGCCTGCGATGGGCGCGACGTAGGCTGATCAATGGCCACCTGGAGAGCGGCCTCTGAAGATCGGGTCGGGCGAAAGGGGGGGGGATAGCAAAGGGGGGGGGTGAGAGAATCAGCTCACGCAGCTGATTTTCCCGGCGCCTCCCGGCGCCGGAGGCGGCTATGTATGGAGGAATGGGCCCCTCGGTGAGGCCGAAACCAGCTGCATGCAGCAAATTTCGTACCCCCCCTTTCCCAATCCCCCCCCTTCCGTCTGGCCCGAGAAGAGCCCGCTTCGATGGCTCGCGGGGCCCTGACCTCGTGAGCTTTTCGCGACGCGGGGCCCTGGAGCTCTCGACCCAGCCCTGGGAGGCCCCGAGATAGGCGGCGCGCCCGCGGGGGGAGTGAGAAAGGGCGGGCCTTCTCAGGAGGCTCGGAAGTTTCCCGAGCTTCTGACAAGTTGTCAAAGCCTTTCCTCTCCGAAGACACAGAAAACCTCTCAAGGGCGCGAGGGCTTCTGAGAGGTCCCGCCGCCTTCTGAGAAGGCCTTCTCCGTCTCGTTTCACCCCTCGCCCGCCGCCGACGAGAGCTCTCTCCGAGAAACGGACGTTGCGACTCTCTCTCGCGACGCCCGAGAAAAATCATGGCAGGGCGGCCAGCCAGCCACGGGTCTTGTCGAGCGGCCGCCAGCTGGCCTCGCCCAGGTCCTCGACCGACTTCACCACGATCCTCTCGGGGTGGACACCGGGGGGGTTGGCCAAGGAGGGGCTTACGAAGCAGCTGCATGCAGCCGGCGCTCCTGGCGCCACTGGACGCTGGAGGGGCGCGCGGAATTGCCCTGCACCTTCGTCGGAAGGACGAAAGAGGAGTACGCCCATTTGGGGGGCTGCTCCGCCAGATTAGGCCGCGGATCAGGCGGGACCAAGCCGGATCAGGCGGGACGAAGCCGGATTGGGCGTGATTGAACCGGATTCAGCCGGATTTCGGACCAGGGCAAAATCATAATTTGACCTCCCAGGAGTTGCATCCGGCCCCCCCGGCCCAAGGCTGCCTCTCCTTGAGGAGGAGGAGGAGGAGGAGGAGGAGGAGGAGGAAAAGTAGGAGGAGGAGGAGGAAAGGAGGAGGAAGAGGAGGAGGAGGCGAGGGGAGGACGGGGAGGGGGAGGAGGAGGATGAGGAGGAGGAGGGAGGAGAGGAGGAGGAGGAGAGGAGGAGAGAGAGGAGGAGGAGGAGAGGAGGAGGAGGAGGAGGAGGAGGAGGAGGAGGAGAGGAGGAGAGGAGAGGAGGAGGAGGAGACAGAGGAGGAGGGGGAGGAGACAGAGGAGGAGGAGGAGGAGGAGGAGGAGGAGGGAGCTCCTGGAGGCTCAAGGAGGGCCCGAGGAGACCTTGTGGCCCTCGCTCCGTCGAACCTTCCCCGACCTCCTCGCCCCTTCGACTTCCTCGATGGAAGGGGGGGGGGCGAGAAGGGGGGGGGGGGCTGGCCCAGAGAGGGGGGGGGAACATCGACTGGAATCGACGATACAGCGCCGGTAGATTCGGCGACATGCCCCCGATGGCGAAGTCGCGCGCTCCTGGGCGGGGCGGGCGATCAGGCACTCGGCGACGAATGGGCGATTGGCCGATGCCCGTCCCCCAGGGTCCCCGCGTCACGTTGCCCCTGACTCTCCCAGACATCCGGCGTCGTGATCGTTTGGCAAGCGTCGCTCCCCAGAGGTCTGGACCTCTTCCTGGGGACCAGCTTTCCATCCCGAGTCGTTTCTGATGGCCCCTGGGCACTGCGAGGGCCCCTGGAGACCGAACATTAGCAAAAACCTGCCGTCGTGATCTTTCGCGACAACAGGCTGTCAGGGATCATCCAGTGGTTTCGCCATCAACTCGTTGGGGGGGGGGGGGGCAAAGCTGTACACATGGCACGCCGCCGCGGGGAACCTCAGCGCGCTACCCTTGACGAGACACTAGGCTTTCGGACGCAAGCTAGAAGGAGAAATCAACGGCATAAACTTAAAACAACTGTCGACGGTCCGCGCGGATCCAAGAAAGCCGCGCGGAACGCCGAAACTTCTTCTTGATGTTGATGGCGCCTTCTTTTTCTTATTAGTGCTATTCGTCGTCTTCTTCTTCTTATTCTTCTTCTTCTTCTGCTTCTTCTTCTTATTATTCTTATTATTATTATTATTCTTATTTTTCTTCTTCTTATTATTATTATTCTTCTTATTCTTATTCTTATTCTTCAAGAAACACTCGATTTCCGGATACCAACGCAGGAGTACCATGTCGTCGGGCACCCAACGGCGGCGCGTCATTGAGACCCCCCATTGGGGACCTCGGCCCTGGTGCGCCGGCCTCTGCACGAAACACCTGCGTCAATACTGAGCCACTGATGGAGACGGCCCCGGCACAAAACCCCATGAAACATCGGGGACGCACTGACCCAGGTCAATGTAAACATGGGTCAGTCAGACTTTGCAGGATCCTGCAGGATCCTGCGCCCACGCCCGGGTCAATGCACCACTGGCTCTGCAGGATCCTGCGCCCACGCCCGGGTCAATGCACCACTGGCTCTGCAGGATCCTGCAAGGTCCGGAGCTCTGACCCCCGTTTGCACCGAACCCCGCTAGTGAGCCCCGAACGATGATGAGGAAGAGGAGGAGGA